CCTACCCTCAAACAGCTAATAAGAAAACAGAAGTAACCAGAGGAGTTATTACCAAGGGCTCCCATCACACCTACCCATCTACCTGCACCTCTCTGCCCTTCACCTGGCTTTCCTTCCTTTGGCTTGGATAACTATGGCATCTATCACTTATGCATGAGGTCGAGGGCAACCATATAAATTATCATCCAAACTGGCCTCTAAAACTATTTCCTAAATATTATTAGAAAAGAAGCCTATAAAAAAACTAAAACCGGGGCTCTTCGGAAAGCAGCTCAAGGAGCAGGGACAACTGACAGTCGTCATCAGAATGAAAAGTTCTGAGGCAATGTTAAAAAGTTATAAACGCCAGCTTAAAAGAGGCTCCTGCTGGCCAAATCATTATGAGAAGTTCAGCATCTTTTTAGTTAAATTGACTAAATCAAATTAAGTCTGTGAAACCAAGTCCACCATGACACTTTTTTAAAAGCCTGAATTCTTTTCTTACAAAAACTATTATATAAGGTGTTATATTGTTTAGAATATATTACTATAAATAGATTTAACTATGAAAAGTAGAAGGAAAGGCACCTACAACTAGGGCAGATTGTTACCTTTAACTAAAGGCTCTTAGGGGGGAAAAAAAAAATCTTGTCACGGTCTGACACACCACTCCTATAAATGAATACAAGGCACACACTTAAAATTTTTTACTGTCCTCATTTCTCATAATCAACAGATAATTACTGAAATGAGATTGCAAAAAATAAACCAGCTAAGATTTGCTTTAAAAAGCCAGATTAACGTAGTCAAAAGCCTTGCTCACAGCTCTTTCAATTGTCTTAATAAGCTACAGGGGACTTCCCTAGTGGTCCAGTGGTTGAAATTTCACCTTCTGATGCAGGGGGTGTGGTTTCCATCCCTGGTCTGGGAGCTAAGATCCCACACGCCTCCTGGCCAAAAAACCAAAACATAAAACAGAAGCAGTATTGCAACAAATGCAATAAAGACTTAAAATTAAAAAAAAAAAAAGGCTACAGAAGAAATGAAGTACTGAGAAGCAAGCCCAGAGTGCACAGACACACATCCTGCAGCCATGTACCCAAACTGCTGTCACCTTAACTGCTTCCTCTTTCTCAACCCAGGTGAAAAAAAGACTTTTGCATCACACCTGACAAAGACCCTAGGGGAAGGAAAGAAAAAAAACAAAACACTTTAACAGTGGTACACAAAAGGTAACTAAATGACAAATGACCACTGAAAGATGCTCAACTTCTTCCAACTGATCCCTAGGCAAAGTCCAAATGGTTTGTAGCCCATCAGCAGAGATTGGATCTCCTCATACCTAAGGCTCCGGCCTCCTGTCTTCATTCTCAATTTGCAGGACCTTCCTCTTCCTGCACCAGCTTCCTAAGACCCCCCTCACCTCTACAGCAGCTGAGCTAACTTCTACTTATCTATCCTCTGGTCTCAGCCTTAGAGCTGAAAGCCTACCTTGACCCACACATACCCCATCCTCCCCCAAAAGTGGACAGAGCTCACCAGCGCTGCTCCTGCTCTGAAACTGCCTTTTCGCTTGTCCAGCTCACTCTATATCCAGGTTCCACAACGCCCAATACTATGCCTGCCAGAGGAGGTACGTTAACATTTGTTAGGCGAAGGCCAAATCTATCTAATGAATGGAGAGTTCTTTAGAAACCTAGAATCAAATATTTGCCCATTGTTCTTGAATACCCTGAAAGCAGTCCTATAGAGTAGGTGGTCAAGTGTAAACAATACATTCTTTCATAAGTCTTTTATGAGTTTCTAAAATTCAGACCTCAAAAAAAAAGAAAAAAAAAAACTGCATATGCTATTCAAAATATAAAGCACAACCATACAACAAATAATTCCATCTGTTTAGAATGGATGCAGGAAGAATCAAATTCAAGTTTAGGTGAACGTAACACTTTGTACATCTCTTACCATGCATCTGTTACAGAGGATGCACATGTAGGGAAGGAAAAAAATTATTTTGGAAAAATATTTAATTTTCACTGGAGTATAACTGATGTACAATGTTGTGTTAGTGTGCTGTACAGTAACTGAATCAGCTATACTGATACATATAACCCCTCTTTTAGATTTCCTTTCCATTAGGTCACCACAGAACACTTGAGTTCCCTGAGTTATACAGTAGGTTCTCATTAGTTATCTATTTTACGCATAGTATCAACAGTGTACACATCAATCCCAATCTCCCAATTCATCCCACCCCCCAGGGAAAATATTTTTCCGTCATCTGAGTTCTTGGCTGAGAGATACAAAGGGAAACTGAGTAACACTCCTGGAGATGGCCCACATTACACCTTAAACCACTGTCTTCAGCTACAGACAAAGGAAAGATAGGGCGCCGGGGAGGGAGACCAGGAAGGTTACCAAGAAAAGCACAAAAAACAAGGATGTGTTTGTTATTAAGATTTCAGTCCAGTGCCTATAGAATCTCCCTTCTCAGTACAGAGGCAGGCATCCTTACAAATGGAGATTTTCCTTTTAAATGTAAATTTCCCTTACAGAAGAATAACTTCTACTGTTCTCAGAGGTTCTCCGCTGTCTTCCCCTTCTCAAAAATACTCAGCTCAAAATAACCTCTATGCCAGAGGCACATTCTGGGGTGGTAAATCCTGCCACTCTTTTTTTTTTTTTTATTCTTTTTTTTCTTCTCATTAAACTTTTTTTAATGGGTCTCAAATTCTGTGACAGATTTTTGGTCAAGTTGTTTTCATTAAAAAGTACTGATTTTAAAAAACTAATAACTTAAACTGCCACACACAAAACATATGGTCCACAAAAACATTCTCCTTTCCACTGCCACTCTTCTCCTTTCCTGCCACTCTTCAGGCCACTACATAAACTTCCTGAGAGGATCGCTTGGAGAATTACAGCTGCACTTTGAAAAATCTGTGGGACGCCTGAAACGCAAGACATTCTAAATCAACTACTCAGCTCTCTGATCTTGAATGTGTTCTCTTTTTTTGTACCACTATTTCACCCGTTCAGACGGCTGCCATTACACTTTATGCCTAATACAATTCATGGGATACAATAAGTGAGAGCTTTTCAAAATGTCGCCCGCTGCTTCAACAAAGGCCTGCCAAACCCTGAACCACCACCAAACTGCCTAGGAGAGGAAGACACCGCCGGGCAGGCTTAGCCTTTATCACGTTCATACCTCTCTCCCAGAGCCAGATCAAGGCCTTTGGGGGCTCTCAATTCAGGAAAAAATTACAGTCCCCCATCCTCCCCTGAAATCCCTAACAAAAGATGCACTATTTCGGGGAGTGCTTTCGGTCTAGTGGTTAGGATTCCGCGCTGTAACTGCCATGGCCCAAGTTCAATCCCTGGTCCCCGAACTTAGATCCCGAGAGTTTCCCTGGTGAGGAAAAAAAAAAAAAAAAAAGCACTATTTCTTAAACTAACATTACTTTCAACTCGCACAATACTTCCAGATGTCAAAATTAACATTAAATTAAGCTTTCCATCTGTTTTGATGCATATGCAATCTATCTATACTTTGACCCAGCTTGGTCCCCGCACTTTCTGCTCCCCGCCCCTGCTAACTCGGACCAATCAGGCCCCTCGGTTTACCAGCTGACACACCCCCGCGCTCGAAACTTGCCGTCCACCCCCCAGTGTTAGTCGCTCAGTAGAGTCGTGACTTTTTGTAACTCCAAGGACTATAGCCCACCAGGTTCCTCTCTCCAAGGAATTCTCCAGGCAAGAATAATGAAGTGGGTATCCATTCGCTTCTCTAAGGGATCTTCCCGATTCAGGGATCGAACCGGGGTCTCCCGCATTGCCGGCAGATTCTTCACCTTCTGAGCCGCCAGGGAGGCCCCAAGATTACTGCAGAAGGTAACACTCACCCACCCCAACAGCCCACACACCCACCCCGCCAGAGGCTTCGCGTCCGACGCTCTAATCCAAACATCGAGGGTGTTCCTCGAGCAACTAGCGGGCTCGAAATGGGCCATCCCGACTCTGATGGGGGAACATCCTCCGGATATCCCACTCGAAGCACGCGGCGCCCCCACAACCTGCTGGTTCCCGGCGTCCATCCCTGCGGCAGGCATTCGTCCTTCCTGCCACCCCTCCCCCGCCCGGGGCAGGCGCCACCCCTCCCTCGCCCAGAGGGCGCACTGCGCGCCGCGCAGGCCAGCTTTTTCTTCCCGCCCCACCCCCAGTACTCCCTTCTCCCCTTTCTCCTTCCTACTCCAAGCACCTTCCACTCCTCCTCCCGCACCTGGCAGACTTCTCCTCCTCCACCTCCGAACTAAGCGCGTCCTCCCTTCCCCGCCCACCCCCTCTCCTGGCATGGCCGATTTCCTCGCACCCTGTTTACAAGCTACACCCCCAAAGCTCCCTGCACTCTTTCAAGCAGCCCCACCTCCTCCGAGCCCAGGGCCTGGACGCGCAACCCTAGCCCCGCGAGGCCACCTCCCTGCACCGCCCCCCCCCCCCCCCCCCCCCCCACGCCGCTACCTGGCGGGGACCGCAGGGGAGGCCGACTTCCGCAGCCCTCCGTTGAGGTTCCTGGCTTCGGCCCGCGACGTGGTACCCGCTAGGGGCTCAGGCCCGGCCTCGCTCCAGGCCGCATCCCCGCCTGGGGAAGGGGAGGCCCGGGTGGCAGCGGCGGCGGCGCTGCTTCCACTTGAGGCTCTGACGGGGGCTTTGTTGGCATTATTCACGGCTGGAGACTTAGGGAAGAAGCTATACAGCGTGCTCTGTCGCGACATAGCCACAGAGGCCGAGGCTCAACCGCTCCGTCGGACCGAGCCACTAGAGGCAAGGCATCTACCGCGCGGGGCCTGCTGGCGGGAAATCTGGGGGGAGGTGCGCTCCGCGGGAGGAACTCTGGCCCCAGCGGCCAATCGGCAGGCGCCTGAGCCTGCGCGGGCGGCGTCAATGGCGGCGCGCGTCCGGCCCCGCCCCCTCGGGCGCCAAGAAACGTGGGGAGGGGCGGGGTCAGCCCGCCGATGCGCGGGGCAGTAGCCCGTGGTGCTGGGATCCGCTCGCGCCTAGGCGGGTGAGCCTCGAGGCTGGATAGGACTGGAAACCTCAACCTACATAAAACCTGCGCGACTGCGGGCCTCCCCACTTCGGAAAGGCGTTCGTCTTTGAAAGGGAATCTAGAGTCACCGGAGCTGCGATCACGTAGGGGCCTGTGTGTACCGAGTGCGTGCACCGCCTAGACAGTCCAAGGGGGTAAGCCCAACGGTCACGGAAAGAGACCCTTGTGGAGAAACGCCTGCCAGCGCCTGCGTGAAAATCCTGCGGTTCGATTCCATACCCAAGGAACCGGAAGAAAAAAAAAAAAAGATCCAGACTTCCAAACTTAAATCAACAAATCAAGTCTTCTGTTCACTTTCTATTCGCAAAGCACTGCACATAGCAGGTACTTGATATTCTACAATTGAATGCTAAGTGGCAAGCCCTGTAAGAGTTTATGATGTCTTACCACCTACATAGCTTTCCTCTGCCGGGCAGCAATCAAATCCAATCATTTTATATAGATTAACTAATTAAATCCTCTCTGTAACCTGTGAGTTAAGTACTTCTGGTCCAGTGTTCCTTATCTGAACTCTTGGGCCAGGTGTGTCTCACAATACATTTTTCATGTTTTAGAAAAGTCACAAGGTGTGAGTAAATTCCTATTCTCCAAATTAAAGAAAGAAATTGGAAGACTGACAGGTCTTTGGCCGTAATCCCAGACTATGAATAAATAACTATGGAATCCAGAATCCCAGAAACCAGCCCCAACCAGCAACAGCTGTGCTTTGGTACAAACACCCGAAGATCAGCTCTTTGCTTTGTTCAGGAGTCTTTTCTGCCACGCAGTTCTCCTTTCTAGGCATGTAATAAAGTCGGTGTTGTTTCAGAAGTAGTAGTTGGAATAATACTAATCCCTCCATGAGGATGATACAGGACACCCTCAGAGAATCTTGAGGCAATACCCTGAAGTCAGATATAATATTCCTTCAGCAGAAGGGCTTCCCTGGTGGTCCAGGGGCTAAGATTGCACTTGTAAGGCAGGGGAATGGGTTCAGTCCCGGGTTAGGGAACTAGATCCCACCTGCTGCACCTAAGAGTTCACGCGCTGCACCTGAAAGATCCCATATGCCACAACTAAGACCTGGTGCAGCCAAAATAAATAAATATTAATATATACGTATTCCTTCAGGAGAACATATGCATATTCACACTAGGTGGGATAAATACAGACTGTAAATAGCATCACTTTAGCTCAGGTCAAAATTTGCTACCAAATGAGTTTGCCACAAAACATTTTTCAGAACTTTTTGGATTTTAGAATTGCAAATTGGGGATTGTTGTTCACTCCCTAAGTGGTGTATGACTTTCCGACCCCATGAACTGCTACATGCCTTACTTCACTATCTCCAGGCGTTTACTTAAACTCATGTCCATTGAGTTGGTGATGCAGCACCACCACCTCATCCTCATCCCTTCTCTTCCTTCAATCTTTCCCGGCATCAGTCTTTTCCAGTGAGTCAGCTCTTCACATCAGGTGGCCAAAGTATTGGAGCTTCAGCATCCATCCTTCCAGTGAATATTCAAGCTTGATTTCCTTCAGTATTGACTGGTTTGGTCTCCTTGCTGTCCAAGGGACTCTAAATTGTCTTCTCCAGGACCACAGTTCAGAAGCATCAATTCTTCAGTGCTCAGCCTTCTTTATGGTTCAACTCTCACATCTATGTATGACTACTGTAGAAAAATATAGTTTTTGTCAGCAAAGGGATGTCTGTGCTTTTTAATATGCTGTCTAGCTTGGTCATAGCTTTTCTTCCAAGGAGCAACTGTCTTTTAATTTCATGGCTGCAGTCACCATCTGCAGTGATTCTGGAGCCCCCCAAAATAAAGTCTGCCACTGTTTCCATTGTTTCCCCATCTATCTGCCATGAAGTGATGGGACTGGGTGCCCTGATCTTAGTTTTTTCAGTATTGAGTTTTAAGCCAGCTTTTTCACTCTCTTTCACTCTCATCAAGAGTCTTCTTTGCAACAAAAAAGAGTCTTCTTTGCTTTCTGCCATTAAAGTGGTGTCATCTGCATATCTGAGGTCATTTATATTTCTCCTGTCAATCTTGATGCCAGCTTGTGAGTCATCCAGCCCAGCATTTTGCATGGCATACTCTGCATTATAAGTTAAATAAGCAGGTTGACAGAATACAGCCTTGACATATACTCCTTTCCCAATTTTGAACCAATCAGTTGTTCAATGTAAGTTTCTAACTGTTGCTTCTTGTCCTACATACAGTTTTCTCAGGAGACAGGTAAGGTGGTCTTGTATTCCTATCTCTTTAAGAATTTTCCACAGTTTGTTGTGGCCCACACAGTCAAAGGCTTTAGCGTAATAGGGATTGTGAACTTGTATTATGTCTCCATTTTATGGCTGAAGTCACTTAGGGACAGATGGATTAGATGGCCCAAGACCAAATAGCCAGAAAAGGGTAGAGTAGGGATTTAAATTCTAGGAACAGTTTCTGGAGTCCTGTTTTATTAATAGGGCCTTCCCTGATGATGACTCAGTGGGTAAAGAATCTGCCTGCGATGAAGGAGATGCAGGAGACACAGGTTCGATCTCGAAGTCAGGAAGGTCCCCTAGAGGAGGAAATGGCAATCCATTCCAATATTCTTGTCTGAAAAATCTCATAGACAGAGTCTGGCAGGTTACAGTCCAAAGTGTTACAAAGGGTCAGACACAACTGATCACAATTGGCTTGGTTACTAATAGAAATGTTATATTGCCTGCAGTTTAACATCATTTTCTATTTTATTTCATCCTCACAACAACCTTATGTTAGATTGAACTATATAAAATTGTTAATATTCAACCTTTTTTTTCTTTTCTAGCTGCATCATGCACTGTTTCTGGGATCTTAGTTACCCCACCAAGGATTGAACCCCAGGCCCTCAGCAGTGAGATCATGAAATCCTAACTACTGTACCATCAGGGGATTCCATATTCAACCTTTTGCAAAGTATAAAACTTCTATTTCATTTGGTTCAACTTAATATTATTCTTGTTTTATAAAAAGGAAATGTAGGCTCAGAGGAATGAACCAGTTAGTTATAGGACAGAAATTAAGAGCCAGTGCTTGGGTTAAATCGAGACCTGGCCTCTGACTCTCACCCACCAGCCAGGTAATAGTGATTTTACTTCTCTGAACTTGTTTCCTCATCACTAATGAGAATAGTAATAACTGTGGGTCAAAATTTGGAGGGCCGTTAGATGCCTCCCACAGAGTTAAACAAGAAGTCACACATCACCAAACACACAGTCCCTTGGTAGGTGAAGTCACTCAACCTTCCCCACGCAGAAAATGCACACTGTGTGCAGAAATAAGTGAAGAACGCCCAAATAAGAACAGACACAACAAGCTACTTCTTCAGAACTTGCTACCACCACTTGCATCTGGAGGAGATTCACAGTCAGGCAGAGGAGTAGGCAAGCTTCATAGTGAAAAAGAGAAGGTGTCAGGTGTGCTGTGATAGGAGGGAGCTGGTGTGAGATAGCTGGAGATGGGCTAACCAGAAGTAGAACGTGCTCCTCGACTGGTTTGGGGAGCATGTTTAGCTTTCTTTGATTGGAGAGTGGGAAAGTTGGCTTAAAACTCAACATTCAGAAAACTAAGATCATGGCATCTGGTCTCATCACTTCATGACAAAGAGATGGGGAAACAATGGAAACAGTGACAGACTTTATTTTGGGGGGTTCCAAAATCACTGCAGATGGTGACTGAAGCCATGATATTAAAAGATGCTTGCTCCTTGGAAGAAAAGCTATGACCAAGCTAGACAGCATATTAAAAAGCAGAGACACTACTTTGCCAACAAAGGTCTGTCTAGTCAAAGCTATGGTTTTTCCAGTAGTCATGTATGGATGTGAGAGTTGGACTATGAAGAATAGACACTACTTTGCCAACAAAGGTCTGTCTAGTCAAAGCTATGGTTTTTCCAGTAGTCATGTATGGATGTGAGAGTTGGACTATAAAGAAAGCTAAGCGACGAAGAATTGATAGTTTTGAACTGTGGTGTTGGAGAAGATTCTTGAGAGTCCCTTGGACAGCTATGAGATCAAACCTGTCAATCCTAAAGGAAATCAATCCTGAATATTCATTGTAAGGAGTGATGCTGGAGCTGAAACTCCAGAACTTTGACCACCTGACTCGAAGAACTGACTCATTTGAAAAGATCCTGATGCTGGGAATGGTTGACCGTGGGAGGAGAAGGGGATGACAGAGGATGAGATAGATGGCATCACCTACTCAATGGACTTGAGTTGGAGTAAACTCTGGGGGTTGGTGATGGACAGGGAGGTCTGGCGTGCTTCAGTCCATGGGGTCACAAATAGTTGGACACAACTGAGCAACTGAACTGAACTGAACTGATTGGTCCTGAGTGGGGACTGATTTCCTTTAGGATTGACTGCTTTGATCTCCTAGCTGTCCAAGGGACTCTCAAGAATCTTCCCCAACACCACAGTTCAAAACTATCAATTCTTTGGTGCTCAGCTTTCTTTATAGTCCAACTCTCACATACGTACATGACTATTGGAAGTGGGGATAAAAAATACACAGCAGCTGACCAGTCATCAACCAGGTCCTCAGAATTCTGGGTCAGTTACTGCAGAGTTCTTTGTTTTCTGGACTGGTTGCCGCAAAGGTTGGGGTTTGGCTTCCATCTGCAGCAAGCAACTCAGCAAGTCAAGCGTAGCTGCAATGGGGAGCTAAACAACAACTCCTGTAGCAATGCCTTTGAGTTGCTGCCAAATGCAAATAATGGTGGCTGACTCCTTGCTGAAGCAAGCTCTGAGTAAATAGCTTTTGCTTGTTCTCATTTCAGTGGTCTTAACTATTTCCACATGTCTGACAGCACAGCCTTTCAGGCAGAAGTCAACAGCCTCTAAGTGAAAAGCAAATACAGTGAGTTTGGGAATAGCACGGTGGCCCAAATGATTGGAGGAGGATAAACTGGGAGGAGCAGTAGGACATAAGGTCAGAGAAGACAGACAAGGGAAGATTATCCCTGCCTTTATAAGACTTGTGGCTTTGACTCTGAGTGAACTGGGAAGCCATGTGGGTTTTGAGTAGAAGAATGACCTGATCTGACATGAACTGCTAGATTCAGAAAAGACTGTATTTAATTCAGCTATATTGTTCTCTACAGAAGAAAGACTGTGGAAATAGAAAACATAAAGTCGAGTGGAAGAAAGAGCCTGAAGAGCAGGAATCAGGGGTGTTTATATCCAAAATTCTGGACACATTTCCTCTAAGATGATGCATGAATAGGGGACGGTGAAATAGCCCTTAAGAGTTAATAATTTTTAAAAAAAGAGTTTATCATATGTGCTCTGCACCTGTGCTCCCCACTCATATGCCACCTCCTTCATCTGAGTTCTTCCTTTGTACTGGGCACTGATGATGGCACAGCAGATGCAGCCATGAACCAGACAGACATATCCAGAGGAGATGGAGATTGCTGGAGGGGAGCAAAATTTTTTACCCCAAAATGTACCTCTTTCACATGAGGATTAATTTAGGTTGATTATTTTTGTTCTTGTTACCTCCCCCTTAACTGCCTAAAAGAATTTAGATAAAAGGCCTGTTCCTAGAATAGGGCCATTATGGGAAACGTCAGCAAAGAATATAGACTAGGTGTGAAACAGGAGGGAAGGGGGCAGGACACAATTTTGAAAGAATGACATAGCGTGAGGACACAACAGACACCAGTTAGAATCAAATGGGTCCAAGATGGCAGACAAGACAGTTCCAAGGCATCATCAAAGACCAAAAGGTGAGCAGGGGGCCCAATTCCAGGAAATCTCCACCCCTTCCCCAAAATAGTTGGAATAATCCTCCCACTCATTAGCCTATGAAGTTACCCAGCCTATAAAAACTAACCACACCACGTTTGGAGGACACTGCACTCGCCCTCTGTGATGGCCCACACTCTGTCTATGAAGTGTGTTTCTCTCTGAATAAATCTACTTCTTAACCTATCACTTTATCTCTCACTGAATTCTTTCTACAATGACACATCGAGAACCTGAGGTTCATTATGGTAGGTTTTGGCTGGGTTCGAGTCCTAGCCATGTGGCTTAGAGTCCCAAACTGGATTTGAGCCAGGTTCAAGTCCCTACCATGTAGGTTCAAGTCCTCAGTTCAATTCAGTCATTCAGTCATGTGCAACTCTGTGACCACATGGACACCAGGCTTCCCTGTCTCTCACCAACACCTTGAGCTTGTTCAAACTCATGTCCATCGAGTTGGTGATACCATCGAACCATCTCATCCTCTGTTGTCCCCTTCTCCTGCTGTCTTCAATCTTTTCCAGCATCAGGGTCTTTTCAAATGAGTCAGTTCTTTGCATCAGGTGGCCAAAGTATTGGAGTTTCAGCTTCAGCATCAGTCCTTCCAATGAATATTCAGGACTGATTTCCTTTAGGATGGACTGGNAGTCACCATCTGCAGTGATTCTGGAGCCCCCCAAAATAAAGTCTGCCACTGTTTCCATTGTTTCCCCATCTCTTTGTCATGAAGTGATGAGACCAGATGCCATGATCTTAGTTTTCTGAATGTTGAGTTTTAAGCTGGCTTTTTCACTCTCTTCTTTTCACTTTCATCAAGAGGCTCTTTAGTTCCTCTTCACTTTCTGCCATAAGGGTGGTGTTGTCTGTGTGTCTGAGGTTATTTCTATTTCTCCTGGCAACCTTGATTCCAGCTTGTGCTTCATCCAGCCTCTCATTTCTCATGATGTACTCTTGCACATAAGTTAAATAAGCAGGGTGACAATATACACCTTGACGTACTTCTTTCCCAATTTGGAACCAGTCTGTTGTTCCATGTCTGTTTCTAACTGTTGCTTCTTGACCAGCATACAGGTTTCTCAGGAGGCAGGTCAGGTGGTCTTACGGTATTCCCATCTCTTTAGGAGTTTTCCACAGTTTGTTGTTATCCACACAGTCAAAGGCTTTGGCGTAGTCAATAAAGCAGAAGTAGATGTTTTTCTGGAACTTGAGTGCTTTTTTGATGATCCAACGGATGTTGGCAATTTGATCTCTAGTTTCTCTACCTTTTCTAAATCCAGTTTGAATATGTGGAAGTTCATGGTTCATGTACTGTTGAAGCCTGGCTTGGAGAATTTTGAGAATTAGGAACTGATTTCATGGTCCAATCCTTAAATCTCCTCATATCTAGAAAAGCACTAAATCCCTCCCTTTGTGCTGACTTCAGCTCCTAGTGAAGCAGAAAACCTTTTGTAAAATAATTGCTTGATTGCAATGAACTCCCCATTCACCAAAATCATATACAATGACCTTCCTCCGCTACTTCTTTGGAGGGTTTTCTCAGAGCTATCCGAGGTGCCATCTCCAGAGCTGCAGTCCTCATTTTGCCGAAATAAAACTTACTTCACAAGTCTCATATTGTGCGTCTTTAGCTGACAGCCCACTGGGAATGCCATATTATAACTGCTTGCTTTTTTCCGGCAGTGTCACGAAGATATTTGCCTCTACCTTTCTAAGTGCTGACTGGGCTAAGAATTAAACTGATGTGAGTAAGATTAACAAGAGATAATCAAAAGTTTGATAACATGTACATATGGGAGAGAGGCAGAAAACTGAGTAATGCACCAAAATGGCAGAAATTTTCACCTTAAATACTGTGTTCAGTTAAAAACAAAAGAGGTTGTTATGGGTAGTGTTTGGGGACTTCAAATAGGAGGAAGGCAATGCAAGTGGAGATGGAAAAGCAAATATTTGGTAAATATTGACTGGGCCCTGCAGAGAGTGGGACTCAGAGTGGACTCTCATCTCTAGACTCTGCTGAGTTTCCCCCCACTACACCTAAAACCATTTACCTCAGACAAGGATTTGAACCATTTCTGTCCTTTTTGTGCCCATCTTTGCATGAAATGTTCCCTTGGTATCTCTAATTTTCTTGAAGAGATCTCTAGTCTTTCCCATTCTATTATTTTCCTCTATTTCTTTGCATTGGCCACTGAGGAAGGCTTTCTTATCTCTCCTTGCTGTTCTTTGGAACTCTGCATTCAAATGGGTATATCTTTCCTTATCTCCTTTGCCTTTTACTTCTCTTCTTTTCTCAGCTATTTGTAAGGCCTCTTCAGACAAGCATTTTGCCTTTTTGCATTTCTTTTTCTTGGGGATGGTCTTGATCACTGCCTCCTGTACATTGTCACAAACCTCCATCCATAGCTGTTCAACCACTCTATCAGATCTAATCCCTTGAATCTGTTTGTCACTTCCACTGTATAATCATAAGGGATTTTATTTAGGTCATACCTGAATAGTCTAGTGGTTTTCCTTACTTTCTTCAAAGGAATGTAGAAATGGTATAACAGAAGCAGAAGATATTAAGAAGCAGTGGCAAGAATACACAGAAAAACTATACAAAAATGATCTTCATAAAAAAACAAAGAAACAAACAAAAACAAAAAAGATCTTCATAACCCAGATAACCACAACAGGGTGATGGCTCACCTAGAGCCAGACATCCTGAAATGTGAAGTCAAGTGGCCTTTAGGGAAGCATCACTAGGAATAAAGCTAGTAGAGGTGATGGAATTCCAGTTGAGCTATTTGAAATCCTAAAAGATGATGCTGTGAAAGTGCTGCACTCAATATGCCAGCAAATATGGAAAATTTAACAGTGATCACAGGCCTAGAAAAGGTCAGTTTTCATTCTAATCCCAAAGAAGGGCAATGTCAAAGAATGTTCAAGCTACCACACAATTGCACTCATCTCACATGCTAGCAAAGTACTGCTCAAAATTCTCCAAGTAGGCTTCAACAGTACATGAACTGGGAACTTCCACATATTCAAACTGGATTTAGAAAAGGTAGAGGAACCAGAGATCAAATTGTCAACATCCACTGGATCATCAAAAAAGCAAGAATTCCAGGAAAAACATCTACTTCTGCTTTATTGATTATGCCAAAGCTTTTGACTGTGTGGATCACAACAAACTGTGGAAAATTNAGGAAATCAGTCCTGAATATTCATTGGAAGGACTGATGCTGAAGCTGAAACTCCAATACTTTGGCCACCTGATGCAAAGAACTGACTCATTTGAAAAGAGCCTGATGCTGGAAAAGATTGAAGACAGGAGGAGAAGGGGACAACAGAGGATGAGATGGTTGGATGGCATCACCAACTCGATGGACATGAGTCTGAGTAAGCTCCAGGAGTTGGAGATGGACAGGGAAGCCTGGCCTGCTGCAGTCCATGGGGTCTTAAAGAGTCAGACACGACTGAGTAACTGAACTGAACTAAAAGACCTGTTCCACCAGTTTCCCTGGAGCACAAAGTGCCCCATTCTCCACCCTGAGCTCCCTTCAGGGTGAGTCGAAGGTCAACAGCTGCAGCAGAAGAGGATTCAACCCCCACAGGAAGATGGCAAATGACCTTGGCAAGCAGAAATTTGTAGTTGACAAGCCTCATAGATTATGTTAGATCATGTTGATATGGATTTAGTCTAGTACCATGGTTCCCAAACTGGGCAGCAAAGCATCCCAGGGAACAAGAGCAAATCCACAATCACCACGGGTATTTTTAAATTTCAAGGGAAATTCAGCAGCACCTGTCAAACACTGTGCAAGACTACTAACTTCAGGTAGTTCTCAGTTTCAACATGAAATCATGCCACATTGGTTTTAATGATATCATTGGGGAAGAAATACAACATTTCCTCTACTGTATTAGGTTCAGTGTGGGTTATCTGCAAATTAAACTGACAAAAGAGATTAGCAAAAGGAAAAATTTACTTTTGGGAACAATGAGAATACATGCAGAAGTGCTTAGCAGGGAAAGAAAAGACTTCTACAGTGAGGACAAATAGGTTTCTTTAGGAAAGACAAATGGGTTTTTAGGAGGGCAAATAGACAAAAAGGGTAGCGACTTGGCACGTACACACAAGCATGGTATTCTGAGAAGGTCTCCATGACTCATATCCCTCTGAAACTGTTTTTGGTGTTTTCTATGATAAACAGCAAGTACTGTGTAGAATGAGTGTTTGTGCTCACTGCTCAGTGGTGCCTGACTCTGCAACCCCATGGAGTGTAGCCTGCCAGGTTCCTCTGTCCATGGGATTTTCCAGGCAAGAATACTGGCGTGGGTTAGCATTTCCTCCTCCAGAGGGTCTTCCCAACCCAGGGATCAAACCTGCTTCTCCTGCATTGCCATCAGGTTCTTTACTGCTGAGCTATCGGGGATGCCCCGAGGATGAGTGTGATGGTATCCAAATCTGATTTTAAAGTTTGAGAAGTTGTACAGTGCTCAGCCAGCACACACATCTCAATACTATGTATAAGTTATTTAAGAATGAAATTAAAATATTATTTTTCCCCAAACAACTCCTAAATTGTTAGAACATAAATCCTCTTTTTTTAAATAATTTTTTAAATTTATTTTTGGCTATGCTGGGTCTTCATTGCTGTGCAAGCTTTCTCCAGTTGCAACGAGTGGGGGCTACCCTCTAGTTGTGGTACTCAGCCTTCTCACTGTGGTGCCTTCTCTAGTTGTAGAGCGTGAGGGCTTCAGTAGTTTCCACTCCCGGGCTCTGGAGCACAGGCTTAATGGTCATGGTGCACCATCTTAGCTCTTCCACAGCATGTGGAATCTTCCTGGATCAGGGATGGAAACTGTGTCTCCTGCATTGGAAGGCGGATTCTTTACCACTGAGCCACCAGGGAAGCCCCATAAATGCTTAGTAAGTCGTATGAACATAAAAATATATGGGACTGTTGAGTATGTCTTCTGGCCTAGGAGGCTTGGTGCAGAAAGTGAAAGCGCCAGGATTTAGTTTTGATGAACCCCTGTTTAGTGGTTGAAGGTTCTGTTTGCAAACTTTATGTGTTCAAATCCCAGCTGAGCTGCTTACTGACTACATGCTTTTCTTGGACAGGTTATAATATTTATCATCTCCGTGCCTCAGTTTCTTCATCTGTAAATTGGGAATGATGATAACAGGACCTAACTCTCGGGGCTGTGGTGAGGCTTGAGTGGAATGGCCTTGTGAAGCCCTCAGTCCAGTGCCTGCCTCCCACCCCCACCTGGCACTCCAGTTAATGGGGTAGAGTTACATAAAGAAAGCTCTGAAGGTTTTCCGAAGAATGCAGTGTTCTGTGTTCCTGCTCCACCCATCCCAGGATCAGGCTGACTGAACAATCCTTCCCTTTGTCTTA